ATCCGATGTATTTCAGTCGGTATAATAATATAGCGTAGTTAATCAATCCCTAATTCACACATATTCATTGCCACCCCCTTCGTTTTATATAACTCACATCTACTAGTACATGTTAATCATTATTCATTTACCACTCTTGTTCCATTTATATCTTTAATAATTATCCTGAATTAAATTTATGAACAATTATGTCCTTCACCATATTCTGCGCGAGTCAATTATTTAACAAATTATATCCCTCCAAGTTTAGAATATAATATGTGCTCATATTATTAATTACTCGTATATATTTATATGCTAATTCTGTATGTAAATCGGTATTTAGTTTTAAGGGGTTTTTATGCATAAGTCCCCAACCAAATATGTTTATTATTCTAGGTTTAGGGGCTATATCTCTTTCACCAATAAGCTCATCCCTTTAATATTTACTATAAATAAAGGAAACATTCATGTATATGTCAATATTACCCCCAACCCTTTATACCCAATTCTTAATTGTAACCCCAATTTAATCAATTTTGTCCACAAAAATCCAATTTTGACCACAAAAATCCAATTTTGACTTTTCGATTTTTTTTTCGGCGGTCTCCGGCGTTGACTTTTTTTAATGTTTTTTTAAGTTTTTTTTTAGTTTTTTTTTTTTAGTCCGCCGCTAAACGTTGACCATAATTGTGTTGTCACTGACAGCAAATTAACGTAATTATACTGTCAATGACAGTTAATTAACGTAATTGTACTGTCGTTGACAATATATTTATGTAATTGTTCTGCCGTTGATAGTAAATTAACGTAATATTATTATTTTTTATTTTTTTTATTTTGTTTGATTTGTTGACAAGTCAACGTAATTATATTACTGTCGTTGACAGTAAAATAACTGTAAACACAATAATATTACTATCAACAACATCAATATTATTATTTTTTTGGGTTTTTTGTTTTGTTTGAGTTATTCGTGGAGTAACGTAATAATATTACTGTCCATTATTGTAATATTACTGTAAACACAATAATATTACTGTGGTTGACGGTAATATTACTGTTGTTATAGTAATATTGTTGTCAACCACATCAATATTATTATTTTGTTTGGATATTTTTGTTTGTGTGAGTTATTCACGGAGTAACGTAATAATATTATTGTCTATTATTGTAATATTACTATGGTTGACGGTAATATTACTGTTGTTATAGTAATATTACTGTCACTCACACTAATATTAATTCTTTTGGCTTTTTATTATGTTTACATTTGTTGAACGGTCAACATAGTAATATTACTCTATTACACAATAATAATGAGTTTTGTTGTGGTAATATTACTGTGCTAGAGATTAATATAGCAATATTACTGTGTTAAACTGTAGTTTAGTTAATTTTACTGTGTTTAACAGTAATATGGTTAATATTACTGTCAATCACAGCAATATTGCTGTTTAAACGAAAAAAAAAATGTTACAGAAAAAGAAAAGAAAAAAAATCAACGCCGGAGACCGGCGAAAAAATCCAGAAGAAAAAAAAATTAAAAAAATTGAAAAGTCAACGCCGGAATCCGGCGGCAAAAAAATAATTTTGAAAAAAAAAAAGTTTTGAGTCAAAATTGAATAATTTGTAAAATTTGGGGTCAAATTGAGGTTAAACTAAGTTAAGGATGAAATTTGAGCATATTAAAGAATAAAGTATGAGGGGCTATTTTAGTGTTTGACAAAAATATAGACCATGTATGGACTTATTGGTAAATGAGTTTTTTGTCTGGATCTCTTTATGAATAAGTATCCATCGATGGACTTATTTGTAATGACCCCTAGTTTTAAATGTATGAGTAATAATGTAATATAACATGGGAAGAACATTCAATGAAAATATAGCAAAAAATATTTGATTTAAATATGTACGTGTAAAATAATTTTAAAATCTTAATTTCAACTATTGCATTTTCTCTTTTCATAATATTACTTTTTATAAGTTTAAATGTTTAGTTCCAATAAGTGATTGAAATCAAAAGAATATACCATCATATATATTTTATATCAATTTTCTTTTCTTTTTTTATTAAAAAAAAAAAGGAAAGATAAATAATGGATAAGTGTTGGTAGATACGAGATATGTGAAAATAACGTTTTAATTATTATTGGGATTTAATTGTAAGTTACACTAGAAAAATAAAATAATATATAGTAATGGTTAAATAAATAAGTCAATGAATTAATTACAAAAATCAGGAATTGAATAGAGAGTAAAAAAAAGGAATATGCTGAAAAGTGAAAAGGAATCAAAGTAGAAAAAGCTGGAACGTCGCAAAAAGAGGAGAGTTGAAAATATTGACTGGTACTAAATGAGAGGCGATAAAGTAGGGAATATACCGGCGAAGATTCCACCTGGCAACGGTGTCCCCGCCCGTATATATACATTCCACCACCACTCCCCACCACTTACCAAACTTCACTCATTTCTCACACACACACACATACCTCCTTTCACTTAATTCACCAGGTCAGTCCCATTTTATTATATTTTAATTCATTTTGACTTTTTCTCCCAGCTTGTTTTCTGTTTTTTGTTTTTGTCTTATTCGATCCGATCTTTAAACTTTTTTGTTTGTCTTATTTGTTCCATGCAAAAGTTGATGTTTGTTTTTGTACTGAGTTGATATAGAAATTAGAATATTCCAGATTTCATTTCTTTGAATTCTTTGTATTTGTATTGTATTATTATTATGTATGTGTGCAATTAATTAGATTATTAGATTAGAGATGTAATTTCAAGAATCAATTTTGCGATTCTGTTGCAGATCGACAGAGAAAAAAAAAATGGCAGGCGAAAATCTGAAAGTGCTGAACGCACTTGACGTGGCGAAAACGCAATGGTACCATTTCACGGCGATCATTATCGCCGGAATGGGCTTCTTCACCGACGCCTACGATCTCTTTTGCATTTCACTCGTCACCAAAATGCTCGGCCGAATCTACTACCACGTCGACGGTTCCCCGAAACCCGGCAGCCTCCCGCCCAACGTCTCTGCCGCCGTCAACGGTGTGGCACTATGCGGGACCCTCGCCGGTCAGCTCTTCTTCGGATGGCTTGGTGACAAGATGGGCCGGAAAAAAGTTTACGGCCTAACCCTAATGGTCATGTGCCTCTGCTCGATCGCATCGGGGCTTTCGTTCGGTAGGGACGCCAAAGCGGTCATGACAACCCTATGCTTCTTCCGCTTCTGGCTAGGGTTCGGCATCGGGGGCGACTACCCCCTCTCCGCCACCATCATGTCCGAGTACGCCAATAAAAAGACCCGCGGTGCGTTCGTAGCCGCCGTGTTCGCCATGCAGGGCTTCGGGATCCTCGCTGGAGGCATATTCGCGATGCTTATGTCGGCCGGGTTCCAGGTGTGGTTTAAGGCGCCGGCGTACGAGGTGGACCCCATCGCCTCCACGGCCCCGCAGGCCGACTACCTCTGGAGGATCGTCCTGATGGTCGGGGCCCTCCCGGCACTCCTGACGTTCTACTGGAGGCTGAAGATGCCGGAGACCGCCCGCTACACCGCCCTCGTGGCCAAGAACGCCAAGCAGGCGGCCTCCGACATGTCCAAGGTCCTCCAGACGGACATCGAGGCGGACCACCCGCCGAAGCCAGCGGCGGACCCCGCGTTAGCGGCGGCAGACAAAAACTCGTACGGCCTCTTTTCGAACGAATTCCTCCACCGCCACGGGCTCCACCTGCTCGGGACCGCGAGCACGTGGTTCCTACTCGACATCGCCTTCTACAGCCAGAACCTTTTCCAGAAGGACATCTTCTCCGCGATTGGGTGGATCCCTCCCGCGAAGACCATGAACGCGATCCAGGAGGTGTACACCATTGCCCGGGCGCAAACCCTGATCGCGCTCTGCAGTACCGTCCCGGGATACTGGTTCACGGTGGCTCTCATAGACGTGATCGGTAGATTCGCCATCCAGATCATGGGGTTCTTCTTCATGACCGTATTCATGTTCGCGCTCGCGATCCCGTACCATCATTGGACCAATCCAGAAAACCGGATCGGGTTTGTGGTGATGTACTCGTTGACCTTCTTCTTCGCCAACTTCGGACCCAACGCCACCACGTTTGTAGTCCCCGCAGAGATTTTCCCGGCGAGGCTGAGGTCGACTTGCCATGGTATATCGGCGGCTTCTGGAAAGCTCGGGGCGATGGTCGGGGCGTTCGGGTTCCTGTACTTGGCACAGAACAAAGACCCGAAAAAGACTGATGCAGGTTATCCAGCTGGCATCGGGGTGAAGAATTCGCTCATCGTATTGGGGTTCGTAAATCTTGCCGGGTTATTGTTCACTTTCTTGGTGCCTGAAGCAAAGGGGAAATCTCTCGAAGATATGTCCGGAGAAAACGAGGAGGAAGCACCTGCTTCGTAAACATAATCGTGAAAACACGATAACGGAATTTTTCTTTTCTAATTAGAGACACTGTTTTTCTTTTAATTGGCTTATTGTTTATGTTTTCTGCTGGTACCTACATCTTTTATTTTTGTCAGTTTGGTTGAGTAAAAAGGATAGTGTTTTCGATTATTCGAAAATCTGTAATTGCAATGTCGAAAAAAGGTTGTAATTTCCTCGGGTGCATTCATAAATAACAAGATTCTTTCTGTTTCAGTTTCTTTACACAAGTCTTTATCATGTCAATTACAGCAATTTTTCGACCATAGTGCTTGAAATTAAACCTTGCGGCACCACAAGAAAAATAAACGATGTTCAATCTTCAGTGGGCCCGATCTCTGATGACTTCGAGGTCCATTTCTGTAGGATCGGTGGCCTGAATCTCATACTGAACACCATCCAAAGCTGTCTTGAAGCCGTTTTTCGATGTGGCGTAAAGCATCTTCGAACGAATTCTCGATATTCCAGGAGCCCTGATCACCAAATATTTCAATTTTCAAATCAAATTATCGGCTTTGAATAAGTTTATCACTTTGTTAAAACAAGAACGGTTTGCAGAGTCGAAAACCAATCTAAGAAATAAAGTTATCTTGACTAGTTTTGCAATACTATATGACCCCATTTTGTAGCCTAATTTGAACCGCGGCATCCTCCAATCAAACGGGGTTTTACTTTTCGCGTGAATATGACATTTTTTTTTGTTTTCGCTTTTGAAAATCCATCTTATTTCGTTTTTGAAAATCCATCTTATAAACGCGGATCCCTTAACACATTATATAAGAACTAGATGCTAATGTAATACGATAAACGATTCGGCAAATGGCATATATACTAATCATCTAAGATCAACTACAATTTGCACATATAACTTATCTGCAGAAAACGAAAAGAAAAAAGAAACTAACCATGCAATGAAGAAAATCTTGCTCTTTTGACAATTCTCAGAAGTCACAAAATCAAAGTCGTAAACTGCATATCGACAATCATCCTCCGGCAATGAATCGGTAAAGTCTTCGTAGCTTTCGGCGGGCCCACCTGTCTTCTCCACAACAACCTCGTTTTGCTTTTCGTCGATCTTAAAAATTACGTAACGGTGCACTTTCTTCTTTTTCAGTTCCAAGAATGTGTTTCGGCTGTGATCAGCCACGCCCATATACGAAGAAGCATTTTGCTGGCCAATCCAATCCAAGTTCATCATCACAATTATATAAAATATTTACTAAACATATATTAATTATTATATTTACCAACAAACTAGAAACAGGAATCACAAAGAATATATATCATATGTTGTAATGAAATTTCTACATGAAACCACAATCTAAGAAAATCCATGCCAATTATATATAAATAAAAGGGCAAATTACGGCCACCCCTGAGTTATGGTCAAATTACAAAAAAAAACCTCATGTTTGGGTAATTACAGCCACCCTCCTCAACTATGTATAATCTTACGAAAAAACCCCTCCAGAGGTAAATTGAGGGATGTTAAATCCGTAAAACCAAACCGAAATTTCGGTATGTCAACATTTACATTTCATACAGTTTACCGAACTGAATATATGATTTGGTTCGGTAAATAACCGAATTATATAAATTTTATGTAAAAATATTTAAACAAAGGGGTGGTTGTAATTATCCAAACAAGAGGGGGTTTTCCGTAATTTGGCCATACATCAGGTCGTCGACCGTAATTGCCCTAAATAAAATAAATAAATAAATCATCGGATTTGGGAAAATCCTGGAAGATGATTGTAATCAAGAATCAAAGTGATCGATCCTCCATTGTTGCAATTGAAAATGAAAGCAAACAAACCAGAAAAATCAATTACTTACATACGAAAACAGAGACTATTAAAAAAATCAAGACTTCACACACAAACACACATATAAACACACATATAAACATACATAAAAAAGAAAGAGAGATTACCATTCCTTTGATTCTGAAGGACATGAATTCTTCTTCCTGGTGGGGAAAATCGAAGAGGGTTCACCAAATTTGGGCAAAAAGAAAAAGAAAAGAGGGTTGAAAATGTGATTAAATTGGAAGGAAAGGCAGAATATATGCGAGAGTAAGTTAATTGACCAAATGGAGAAAGAACAATTGATATTCTTCTCTTTGCACTTTTCTTCTTTACTGTATATTTCCTTTCAATGAAAGTTTAAAATTGTGTTTCAAGAACCAAAAAAACAAAGAAATTATATTAAAATAATACTCTTCATAATTCTTAGCAATTTTAAATAATATGATTTTCGATATATCGTTAGATTTGATCGCATCTGGGCCAAGAGGGCGGTGCGTTGGAAAAACGCAGCCGCTTTTTGTTTTTTTTTTTCTTTTTCTTTATTCTCTTATTTTAATTAGCAAATGCAGGTGTGGTATTATAGCCTATAGGACTTCTTCTACCCTACACCCGGTGTTAAACACCGGGCGGCTCTTCTGCTGCCATTTGGCATTTTTGTATTTTATAATATATTTCCCCCATAGAGTTTATCTTTAGGGATTTTAGAAAAAAAAAACAAGTGGCAAGAGAAGACCCACCCGATGTTTATCACCAAGTGTAGGATCGAAGGAGTCGTATTATAACAATTTATCTTTTACGATTCGCTTTGGTATTTATCTTCTATAAGTGGGGGGAAAAGGGATTCGTAGTAAATATTCATCTTGGATTTTTTTCATAGCAATTTTTTTTTTCCACGGCACTCATAACAATAATATTGAGTATTGTTGCCCCTATAAAAGAAATATCAAAACAGTATGGCAATCTACTACTGTCATTCGATAGAAATTTGTTAGAAGATAATTAGTAGTAGGATTTAGTACTATAATCGGCTGGTAGAACTTCAGCAATTTCTTTTTTTGGCTTAATTCCACTTTCAGAAGATAATACCAAAGCGAACCATAAAAGATAAATTGCTATAAAATCCAAAAAACATGAATATCAAATTGATTTTTTACACAATCGACTTCTGATCGATAATCTGAAATTAAGATGAGAAGGAAGACCTCAAACTTTAATAGATTGCCGACGTGCGTCCTGATAGCCAGTGGGTAACAATTTTCAGCAAGCAATGGTTGTAGCCCGCTATTAGTCCGACTGCACAAGAAAACAAAGTGTTTTTTTTTTCTTTTCTTTCTCCAGAGAATGAGAACAAAGTTGAAAAATAAAAGATTGAGGCTATGTTTGGAAGCGTTTTGGAACTTATTTAGATTTCATTTTGAGAAAATATGTTTTGAGGGAAGAATTTGAGAATGAAAGTAATGTTTGTTTATATTTTGGAAGGAGACAAAATACACTGTAGTAGTCAAATCATGTTTAAAGGTGTTCGAAAAATGTATTTTAGGTAAAAAAATTGAAAGATGAAGTGATGTTTATTTGTTTTTTAGTGAAGACATTTTTCACTGTAGCAGTTAAATCATTTTACTGTAGCAGCACATCATGTCTGAATGAGAGAGAAACTTTTGATATTGTTTTGAGAAAATTATTTGAGATGTATAATAAATAAGATTTTGTTTTGGGGAATCAATGAAAACAAAATGAAACCGCTTCCAAACATTGCCTGAGACACTAGAGAGGAGCTTTGAATAAGTGGGATTAAATAAGAGAGCTTAATAATATAATTGAGCGAGCTACAAAAATAAATAAAGTAATATATATATATATATATATAATTATTAAAATATCACTCCTTCGAGTTTAAATAAAAAAATAAAAAAATAAAAAAATTAATAATAATAAAAATCCAAGACAGTGAGAAAACATAGTCCACGACGCCAGCCACAATTTATTTTTATTTTTTTATTTTATTAATAATTATTTAAACTGGGGGTGGGATTTTTTTGTAATTTTCACACTTAAATCAAACGGTGTTAAGGTCAAAGGTCTGAAAACTAACGGCGAGGGCCGCATTGAGACAATTTTTCAAGTATAGGGGGGCAAATCGATGCAATTGAGAGTAGAAGGAGGTAAAGTGATATCGAGCCAAAGTACAAGGGGCCAAATCGATGAATTGAGAGTAGAAGGGGGTAAAGTGATATCGAACCAAAGTACAAGGGGGCAAATCGATGAATTGAGAGTAGAAAGGGGTAAAGTGATATCGAACCAAAGTACAAGGGGGCAAACCGATGCAATTGAGAGTAAAAGGGGGTAAAGTGATATTCAACCAAAGTTAAGGGGGGGAAAGTGGAATTTACCTTAAAATTATATATTAAAAAAAAAAAACACAATTTGACGGTGGGCTAGATAGATTAAAGCCTAATAAGGCCCACGAGAGTTGAATGAATATTGAAGACCAATAGCGTTTACAATGGCCACACTGCAAAATAAGATAAATGTAAAATAAGATAACCTTAATTAAGGCATATTAGGAGATTCCTCTACTGTAACTCCAGATTTAATTTGTATATCTCAAGTTCTACTCTTATTAATATACTGACCTAAGAAAAACATTGCAAAAATAGTTAAATGAATATTTAGTTATAAACTGAGACAATACTTGTTTATACAATATAACCTCAATATAAAATTTCCCCATGGATTAGCTAGCTATTTAAGTTAACCATAATAGCAAGTCACTTATAATATCAGTAATCCCTCTTCTCCAAAACCAAAAATAATAATAATTAATTAACTAATCAGTAATATTCAAATTTAATGGAAGCCAACAAAAAGTTATAAGTTAATCAGTGGTTTGCAGGTTATGAAAACCACTAATTGCTACCTTCAGCTAAGTATTTAAGTGAGACCCATGTATTAATAGAGCACGTGCACGAGGCATGCGTAGAATTAAGCAGCCGCCTTTTTATTCACATTTTTTAAACATCCAATAAAATTAAACAAGTAATTAATTAGTAAAGAATTAGTTAAATAATTACTTTTAATGCCATTCAGTGACTTGATAAAACTGACATAAAAGATTTTACTTTTATTCCATCATAATCACACATATTTTTTTAGCCAAGGAATCCACAGTCAACCGCATATTGGTTCACTAAGTAAACATACACTCTCGTATAATAGCTTGCAAATAATTTCAGATATTTGTCTAGTCTAATATACATATTGCCCAATCAATCCAAATTGTGTATTTAAAGACAATATTACATAATCACGGTTTTGAGTAGTTGTCTCGCAAGCTACAATGACCTTAACTCGATACAGTATAATTATAAATAAAATTGTATTTTTACAATTAATAAAAGCATGCCACACTTTATATCTGTATTAGTAATATTTACACTGTAAATAATAATAGCATGATAAATTTCGAAAAAAATGAACACTAAAGTACATTTTAATTTTCAAATAGAATATAGGTTAAAATATTATATAAAGGATATTTTGGGGTAAAGAAAAGATAAATCTCAATTGTTATTTCGAAATGGAGTTTCGAATTATATTTATAGATTTGCAAACGATCGTAATCAACAGCCACAAACCTGTGGAAAATAAAGATTTGAAAATGTATCCCACATTTTCATATTAATTAGGCACCATATTTAGTTGAATATATTATTTTCAATTGAATTGACATATTTTCGATTGAATAGATGTTTAACTACAAATTCATTTATTAATGGCGACATTTCACCTATTATTTACATTTGTTAATAATTTAATTTAAGTACTCCAACGAAGACGAAATATCTCACCCACAATAAGATTTGTGGAGTGATGGGAGTTTCATATACATTTAGATGCGTGTATTGTAAAGCCATATTATAAGGTTATTTGAAACATATATACGTTAATAATTTAATTAATTTATTTTCAACAAAAAATTACAATAAGCAAAATAAATTTAATCCACTTAAGTATTCAATCAAAGTCAAATTCAAATTTTTAATGAACAATATATAAAACTAAAAAAATTAGCGTTCAAAATAAAGTCTCCTAACAAAAAAAAAAAAGGAAAACGACTTTTTCTATAGTAACTTTGAGACTGAGTCTACGAGATGCTATACTTTGGACTATGAATCTATTTAACTAACCAGCTACTAATTACACGTACACGTGCGTGTGTGTGCGCACGCGCGCAGGGGCGCATCTATGGGTAAGCTTTTGGGCTGACACTGGCGGCCCCTCCAATTTCTTTTAACATTTTTTTTATTTGTTATTTATGTATTAGTTAATATACTTTCACCCTCCAAACCTCCAATTTTATACACTTTAGTCTATAAAAAAAAAAAAAAAAAAAAAAAAAAAAAAAAATCTCTTAACTCACCTCCATATTCTAGCCCCCAAGAAAAACCCTGAGTCCGCGAACCCCTGCGTGTGTTTTCATGTGTAGATTAATCGTTCAAGATCACTGGGTGTAATCCACCGGGTACAACATCGATAAAACCAGATAAACATCTAGTTTTAAGTGTTCTTCATCAGAGGCGGCTAATATCTAGTGGAGTTTAAAACTGAAAAAATGATATTTCTTAAAAAAGAGAGATAAAAAAATATATTCAAAAAAAAAAAAAAAAACGATAGCATCAAAGTTACTAAAACCGCTTTAATTAGTCAGGTTCATGCATGAGGATGAGCAATTAGCTAATTAAGACAAATTATTGGTCAATGTAAAGAAAATAAAAACGAAATTTGTAGGACTAGTTTCATTTATCTACATTGATCAAACAAACCTAGACTTGTAGATGTTGATTGCATGATTATTTGATTATTTGACTGCATTAAATGTATTATATACTCCCTCCGTTCCTTTATAAGTGTCGTTTTTAGCTTGTGCACAAGGATTAAGGATCTCAATAAATTTTGCTTAATTTTAGAAAAATATATGTGCTTATACTAAAATGTCCTTGCCAATAATTAATGTGAGAGAGTGTTGGAGATAGTTAATAAGGGTAAAATTGATAATTACACAATTAATGCAGTGTTGGAAATGTAAAGTGACAGATAATATGGAACAAAAATAATTTTAAAAAGAGACAGTTATTGTGGAACAGATGGAGTATTTTTTTGACATAATTTATTATTTAGTGTTTGCAGATGTAATTTGTCTTAATACATTTTAAAAATAAACTTTATTAGGACATGTATGCCCTTATTATATTTTTTAATCTAAATATATATTATTATGAGTGACATCCAATACATTTTTAATAAACAAGCTGAAAATTCAAACTTGTTTGCAACAATGCAACTTCTAGGTAATTAAGTTGTTTGAATCAGTTTTGTCTTGAATAGTTGCACACACTTTCAGCTTTTAAGAATACATTTTTTCTTTCTCAATTTGATATTTTGATTGCAGATAAAATTTTATTGTTGCACTTGATTTTCATTCATTATTAATAGAAGAAAAGGCTAAAAG